CCAGCTGGTCCCCGGGCGCAGGAGGGCGGCCTGGCTGGGTTCCCCCAGAGCCGAGCAGGACCCGCGGGGCACTGGAGCTGGCCGGCACCCCCGCGGGTCACCTGCCCTGCCCCTCCCGCCCCACTCCAGGCGGGAGCGCGCCCGGGGCTCTCCGTGGGACAGGACCCACGCAGCGGGCTGGGCCCGATGCCGACGGCCTGCGGGGCAGGAGGGAGCAAAACGCCCCCGCGTCACCTGGCAGATTTGGCACCTGGGGCCGGACTGAGCCCCTCCGGGTTCGCCCTCCTTCCTCCTCCATCAGCCTCGCAGAGCCGCCGGCAGGAAACAGGGCAGTCCAAAAGGAGCCTGCAGTGGGGCTCAAAAGCAGCCCCCACCTTTGCCGCGGGGGCAGGCAGGTTCTGGCAGCCGGGCAGGAGACAGCGCCCCACCGCAGCCAGGGCCAGCACCGCCGCAGGGCCGCTCTGACCGGGGGCTTTGGGGAACAGCGAACATCAGTCAGCATCCCACTTGCCCCGGGGAATCCGGGCCTTTGCAGGTCGGACGGGGCTATTGAATCTGCCTGCCCTGCACACCCGCGCGTGCCCCCGCGGTGGGAACAGCTGCGCGCTTCCCCAAGCAGGCGGGCACACACGTGGCACTGCTCCTGCTCCACGCAGAAGCGGCCTCACCCGCGAGCTCCAAGGACTCCAACCCTCTTCTCCACGCGAGCTGCTCTAACCCGTGGGGCTCTGACTGGCAAAACCCACTGCCACGGGGCATGACTTTCCGAGGCGGGGCGGGAACTCCAGGAAGCTTTTCTTGGCACCCGCTTTGAGATTACACAATTAAGGTCTTTCCCGGTTTGCAGCAAGCGAGCGCAACACTCCAGTTGAGTTTTTTGGGGGGTATTTTTTCTCTTTTGATGGTCTCTTGTCCAGGTCAGTGTTTGTGATGCTCAGCCGTGCCCAGCTGCTTCACTGCAGCATTTATGGTGTCTTATCTTTTCCTTTAACTTCCTGGTTTTTTTTCCTCCAGCCCTGCCAGCAGCATTCACTGCCGCACTGCAGTAGAGCAGTAAATACCTTTAACAGCTGCCTGCCAAGCAAGGAGTGAAATACTGTCTTTGTTCTGATTTTTTCTGCCCCGAGAGCTCATAAAGCAGTCCGCAAGAAATAGATTTCTTGGAGGAAAACATTATTAGAAAATAAACAAATCTTTGGGCTCCGAGTGGGGGAGAGGGAGAAGGATCTGGTATTTATTTTATCCTCTCTAGTGGGTATCTCATGCCCGCAGGAGCACCCTTCCCTAGCATGTACCTACCGACTCCTATTCAGCACAGTCGTCTGTGCATCCGGAGAAAAAGTGCTGGAGTCGTTACGGTTGAGCTGGAGCCGTATTTTGAAATGTTAAGCGAGAGTTAATGTGGGCTGGGTATTACACCTAGTTCCTGGTTGCCATTTCTCTGATTAGGATTATTTTAGTTGTACATCTTTAAACTATGCATCGTGAATCTCCTGTTTCCTTTCAAACCTGAAATTGGTCATCGGATTATGAGGTGCAGTTGAACAAATCCGAACATGAAGCAGGTGCTAGAACGTCCCATATAAACACTAACTTAAATAATTAAAGCACGCCCAGCGCAGACAGGCACACATCTTGTTAGTAGCGTAAACACACATTCCTATATGTGTGTACTTTAATTATGGAAATACATACGGTGAGAAAGAGACCCCAATGCTGCACTTTCGAGGAAAAGCGAGAAAGTACCAAAGAAACCTTTCATTGGAGTCATACATGATACTAGGTATATATCTCTAAATATTGCTTGTAACGCTTGTTATAAGATCCTGGTTTTCCTTTCAGATTTTCCCTGGGCGTCTCAACATTTAAAAAATAAATAAAAGTAGGATTTTTGCAAAGTTTTTCTGGAGAAACTGTTAATAACATATATTCACAACGGTACCCGCGAAGAGAAATTCTCAGGGAGAAAAAAAGGTAATGCAGAATGTTCCAATCACTATTGCAAATTATTGCAAACTAAGCGTTATTTTTTTCTTTAAAAAAAAGTAAATGTCATTCTGATGTTAAAACAATATGGACAAACAATCGGAAGACTAAAAGCCTTGCATTACTCGTTACTGAAATAATACAATGCAAGAGACCCACTGGGAAATGCACAGTACAGCATGAAGGCTTTTTCCTCTTCAGCTTTCAAAATGTAATTCCCGGACACAACTCAAGCCTTTCTGTTTTCACAGTCAGCTTTGAGTACTGTATAATAATCCATTATATTTTACAGTGTAATGAAAGACTGTTCCTGACCTAAGTGATGATGTGTGAATTGCGAGTGTATAATTGTACACATATAGTATAATGCGTTCAACATCTGTCCAGACCTGTAAACATTAAATACAATACTGCAGTTCTACCACTATAGGTAAGAAATTCACAAATTATTTTTAAAATATATGTTTCAAAATAATGTTACGTGTAGATTAGCCAGGTATACATAATTCAGGAGATTGTGGTTAATAATGCTTATATAATTCCAAATTAATCTATATTTTAAAAAAGTTTTATCATGAATTTATGTGTCTATAATCATAGCATTATTAATCGTAGGGGCAGAACTGCTGCACTGTATATAATGTATTACCAGTTGTGGAATGAGGCATAAGGAGAGTGGCATAAGGAGAATGTTTACTTGTATTCCTCCTTTAACTGTAATCATCTCTGGTATGTAAAATCTTAATAGCAGCAAAATCTAGTTAGAACAGAATTAGCAAAAAAAGGCCCTCGATTTTTCTGGAAAGTTAAACATATTATGCACAATTACTGTAATGCTAGTTAACGTCTGAAGCATTCATTAAACCCAAGAACCTCGCCATATTTTCATTATGCTAAAATTGCATCATCAGCCTTGAGATGAATAATGCTAAATTGTAGGAACGAGTGCGATCATACACCCTTTATGGTTTGTTATAATTAAAAGCATAGGGAGAAGAGCTGCTGTTAAAAATGATATTTGATGCAGTCTTAAAATCATTCTGATTTGCTAACGGCATACATCCAAATAATTGAGAATTGATGGCATTATTCACCCAGGCTCAACGGTGAACATGCCCGCATTGCATTCGATTTTGCAAATTATTAGCGACCAAAATTACTCTCAGAATACACCTGTTAATCTTTAAAGTTACCCAATGCAATTCCACAATCCGGAGCAAGCCACAGACTCATTAGAGTATTTCACAATCTGTCAAAATCCTGTTAGCCTGATTAAACTAGGAATTATACAACCTAAAATGTCTGTTCTCTGCCTTCTCGAGGGTTATACTCTTCTCCCAGCTAAACTTCCTGTACCCCAAGTCCGGGCATTCCCATCGCCTTTTTCACACCTTCCTAGCCGTGCCTCTCCGAGATAAAAATAAAAAGACATGAAAGCAGACCAAATATAACCCAACATGTCCGGCTGGCCAGGGGCACAAAGGATTAGGAAATGCCTCCCTCTCTGGCAGGTGGCAAAGCACAGTGGACATAGTTAGTGGGCGCATTCATGCCAGGTCGGCTCGGGGACCCTTCGGTGCCTTCGGGAAGGCGAGGGACATTTTGTGTTGTCCCGAGCACTTTCTTTTATGACTTCTCGAGTCATTTGGTGCAGTCTGGGGTCTGGGCAGCCCTGCAATCAGCCCGAGAGAGCTGGAGTCCTTACCCGCTGGCTGTGCTGGCGGAAGGCAGAGGAGCCGGGCAGGATCGCTGTAATCCATTAGGCGGCTTGGTAGCACAATCCGAGCGGCAGAAAGTAGGAGCTAAAAGCCGGAGGCGGCGGGCTAACAGGTAGAAGGAGGGAGGGCTCCGCCGGTGGACCTGGCGCCGGGAGCCCGTCCTGGCAGCCGGCGGGGAGCCGCGGGGCGAGGGGGCTCCGCCAGGACGGGAGACTGTCAAGGTAGCGGCGGCGGGGAGCGGGCGAGGGTTGGAGGAGCCCTGCGCTAAAAGGGGTCGGTACACAAACATCATAGCCACTGTAATACACCTCATCGGAGACAAAGGTTAGAAAAAGAGGGGTTGAGGCTCTCTGAAGGCGGAATGCAGGGGGAAATTCGCCAGGGAAATCAGGAAAAAGGCCATGAAAGCCATCACTGCCTGCACATGACCAGCAGCAGCCAATGACGAGCCCAAATAGGTCATAAAAAGGTCTATTACCGAGTTGTAAATTTTCTTCAAACAAAAAGGAATTTACTGCAATTCCTTGCGGATTCTGCATAGACTGCGGCCCCGCGCCATGTTTCTCTCGCCTCATCGCTCCAGCTCGCCTGCTTGGTTTTTTATTTATTTATTTTTTTAAATCTCCAGTTTTTTCTGGCCTGGGAGGTTTCCAGTGCGACGGGACCGCGGCACGCAGCCCGGGCCAGCCCTGCCCGAGCAGGGAGGCATGGAAAAATGTAAAAAGCACAACAGCGGGTCGGGAGAAGCTCCCATGCGGGGCCCGTCGGGTCCCGGAGAGCCCTCTCCCCTGTTTGTCATTTAAATGGCCCTGCTCTCCCGTCACCCGTGCAATTTAGCTTCCCTGTTTTGGGTGGGGGGGAGGAGGGGGTTATTCCCCTTCATACTAAAGGCACAGCCCGATTTTCTTTGGCGCCCACTGCTGAACTCCAGGTCCCTAAGCGTGGTCCCCCGCACGGAAGGGCTCCCTTCCCCCTGAAGTCTGCAGCGGCACAGGTTGCTCTGCGAGGCTCTGGTTCTCGCTCTAATGCAGAGGTAGAATGGTTCCATTGCTGCCTCCTTCCCTCCACCCGCCCTCCCTTCTCTACTTCAGCGTAGTTAAACAGGGCTGATGGGGAAGGTTGGAGCAGTAGAATTGAGAGAGTCCCTTGAGGTCTCAGAAGTTCCTCGAGGGAGAGCAGAGGCCAAAAGCGCTTCAATTTCGCGGGAGTTTCTCATTATGATATGATATTAATTATATGATATATTTTATTTCACCTTATTATAGTTAATATTATTTGATATCACTTTCTTTTTCTTTACTTGCTTGCATGCTATATTATGTTATTTCATTTTGCTCTAGTCTGTGTTACTAGCCCCCGATCAGCCCCTTGCTCGCATCCTCCAGGACAATCAATGGTGCCTGCCCGGAAAACAGAACTAAGTGAAACAGCTGGGCCCTGTTCTCCTGCAGCGAATCACCCGAGGCACGGGCCTCGGAGGGCGCGCGGGGCCGGCGGCTTTGCCCGCATCCCAAGCGTGGCGGGGCTGGCAGGCGGGAAGCCCCCCGCGAGCCGCACAGCCGGCGGCCGTGCCCCTTGCACCGGGCCTTGCCAGACTCGTCCGGGCCCCGGGCCGCAGGGCTGCGCGCTCGTGGCGCTGCTCTTTAGCCGCG